CATTCCTGATGGTTCTTGGAGTGAGGTAGTCTCTGTAATTATGCCCTTCATTATGCCTTTTCTTTGAGAATTTTTCCACTCTGTTAAACTACCTTGTCCTTTAAGTTTGCTTCTGCTTGATCCTAAGTAACAATTCTTTAGTTTTTGAAGCTTGTTTTTATTGTTACTCACAGAATTTCCTTTTGCTCTTCTCCATCATTACTTGTCTTAAAATCCATGAGCTCTCCTTCTGCATAATCGGTGTCTGCCCAATTATGCTTCTCGTCCATATTCTAAAACATTTATTTCTTGCTGGTCAGAGCCAGAAACTGGAGATTCTGCTGTTTTTTTGTATATTCTATACCCAAAAGTGGTTCCCACCCCATTCCAAATACTTAGCAGACATTGACCCATCCTACTGCTCCCACGGTACTATCTGGTCTGTCCTGGTTTCAGTCTATGCTTTGAATGATTCTATTAGTTGTTCCAAAAGGGATAGGGTGTTAGGAGAAGATCTAATAGCAGATTTCCACAATGGAGATATCGTCCTTCTCTTTCCTTTCTATTATTACCAAAGCACTTTCAAGAGATCTCTCTGATTCTGCTCTTCAGCCTCATTCTAACTCTCAGGCTATGTCTGTAGACATCCTTAACATGTAAGGTAAAACCTTTTTAGTTTTTCCTTTAGCTATTTTTACTGATCTTGGTGTAACCTGCTATATCAATTTCCCAGGCTTAATTTTACTGAGAAAATTACATTTTTGGCTGTACGTGGATTTTTTCCCCCCTCCTGCTGTTTATTCTCCATACATCTCTAAATCAATCAGCAAAAATATCCACTGTATAAAATCTGTCTGTGTGTATGATGCATATTAGTTTCTTCTGTGAGATGATCCTCATGTCAATAACTAGGCATAGATAGATAATAGTAAATATCAGGATCTTTTTTCTTTGTGGCCAGCAACTGCTTATCACAAAAACGTTTGCTCCTTTGTTTCCCAGCCCTTCCCGCTCTCTTCAAAGAGGAGTTAAGAAATGAGGAAGCCATGGAGGGTAAAATAGTCACTCTGCGCTGTGAGCTGACCAAGACTGCTTCAGTGGAGTGGAAAAAGGGGGACACAGTACTCAAACCTAGTGAGAAATACAAAATGAGGCAGAAGGATGTCACTGCAGAACTGGTGATCCATAATCTAAATGAGAGTGATGCTGGTGATTATACTTGCGTGTGTGGGGATGTGCAGTCCACAGCTTCCTTAGCAGTACACGGTAATAACCAATTTCATCTAGATGTCCTCATTATCGAGCTTATGGTATGAATTCATCTTTTCTCCATGTTCGTTGTTATCTCTGCATAGTTCCTCTGAGTCTGACTTCATATGTCGTGGTCATGAGAAATTGCTTTTTGTGATATAAGGGAAAACCCCTCACCCATCCATATATAAATAGGCTTTAGGGTTTGCTCCTTAAAGTACGTGAGATAAAGCTAAAGACAGCTCCCCACTGATGCTTGCCTTTCATTCCCCCACCTCTGCCCTTCACCAGGAGGCTGTGTTTGCTGCTCCATTTTAACCCTGTGTCCATTGCATCCTCAGTGCTGCCTGCACGCATCAAGGAGAGCTTGAAAGATGAGGAGGTAACAGAAGGTCAAGCAGCCACTCTGTGCTGTGAGCTGACCAAGGTTGCTCAAGTGGAGTGGCGAAAGGGAAGTAGTTTGCTCAAAGTCAGCGACAAATACAAAATGAAGCAAGAGGGCACAGTCATGAAGCTGCTTATCCATGATGTAGAAATGAAAGATGCTGGAGAATACACCTGTGTGTGTGGAGAACAGGAGACTACAGCTGCCTTGATAGTGCATGGTAAAAACATATATGTATATCTGTGTTATTTTGTGTTTCTCTATCAGCTACTATAGATTGTGTTTTCATGCGTGGCTGAATTTGTTTGAATTTCCAAGCTGTCTCCAAGATCTGGTTGCATCCAGACCACTTTTCTGTTTCTGTCTATTGGTTTGTCCAATAACACATAAATATGAGAAAAACAAACTCATTCCATCATAAAATGTTGTCTGCCTCTGTACCACCCCATCTTTCCCCTCATGTGTGTGCCACGTGTCATTTTTAATGCCCTGTGTCTGTTTTGTGACCTTCAGCCCTGCCTACACTTTTCAAAGAAGAACTGAAGGATCTGCAAGCCATGGAAAGGCAAACAGCCACTCTGTGCTGTAAGCTGACCAAGGCTGCAGATGTCCAATGGAAGAAAGGAAACAAAATAATCAGAGCAAGTGAAAAATACATCATGCGTCAGGATAATGCCCTTGCTGAGCTGGAAATTCGTGATCTGGAGCTGCAGGATGCAGGAGATTATACCTGTGTGTGTAGAGACCAACACACCACAGCTTCTCTGACAGTGAATGGTAAATTCATCTTGCAGATGACTGCTCTTTTTTTGTTTCTCTGAGATGTCCTTTTGGTGTACAAAGTGTTCACCTATCACCTTTTTCCTAGGAATTAATTTGTGTTCAAGAAAGGAGAACAACTTGTTCCAACGTTTAATTTTGGTCTGATGTTCCTGAAAAGGAAGCTCAGGACATGACCGTTTCTCCATGCAGACAAACTTACCTTTTAAGTTTAAGGGAATAGGACCTAGGAAATGTTCCCGTTACACCAGCTGAGATGTCCTGCTCCCTGATGGAGGGTGGTCCTGTGATAAATTCCTTGGGTTGCATCTCAAATCCATCCAGCCTGTTGTACTTTGACCTGTCAGCTCAGCACTTCTTTCTCTTACTGACAGTGCTGGATTTAGTTTTCCAGATCATCGTAGTGATAACCTCATCCTCAACGGCCAAATACCTTTACTCGCCCAGATTTGAACTTCAGTTGATATTTCCTGATGTTGATCACAAATGCAGAAGTCTTTGTTTAAATACACTGTCTATTGGCTTTCCATTCCCAGCCCTGCCAGTGCTTTTCAAGGAAGAGCTGAAGAATGAAGAAATCCAAGAAGGAAGATCAGTCTCTCTGCGTTGTGAATTAACCAAAGCAGCTCCAGTGCAGTGGAAAATAGGGTCCAAAGTGCTCAAAGCAAGTGACAAATTTCAAATGAGACAGTCTGGCACCACTGCAGAGCTGGTCATTCATGATCTAGAAGTAGAAGATGCTGGAGATTATACCTGTGTGTCTGGTGACCAGAAGACAACAGCAACCTTAACAGTTCATGGTAAAACCACTTTATTAAAAATGATAATTAGTGCTATAGATAAACATCACTCTGAAATTCAGCTGTTTCTGCCCTGGGTCAGTAGCTTGTCTTTGGTTTTATCCCTTTCTTTTCCTTCATTCTGTGTGCAATTCATTTCTTACTGAGAAAAAATAGATCCAGGCAAATTTTTGGGTTGTTATTACGTTGTCACCTTTTAAAAGGAGAAAACAGGATATTTCTTTATGTCCAAGTCTGCTTTTGGGCATTTACATTTCCCAGCTCTTTTCCCTCTCTCATCCCCATGGTTCACTTCAGCCAAGCACAGTTTTCTTCAGAACATGCGTGTGTGGTTGGTCATGTCCTCTGCTCTCCAAGCACTGCTCAAAGGAGAAATGAAGTTTGAGGGAGCAGGCGGAGGAGATGTCATGCTGCTGTGTGATCTGGCCATGGTTGCTCCTGGGGGTACCAGATTCTTTAAGCGAGTCAGACATGCAGAATGAGATAAGAGTCACCATTTCAGAGCTTCTTATACCTAACCTAGGTTTAAAGGATGCCTACATCTCTATGTGGGGATCAGGTCTACCTAATGTTCTTTATCCTGTTAGCTCCCAATAAACCAATCCATAAAGAAATCCTTGAGTTATGTTAATGATCTCATTAACTCATGTTCTGCTCTCATGAAATTAATGAGTATCCTTTTTAATGAGTAACAGTCCTTGGCTCTGAGAAACTTGGTCAAACATCCAGTTCTCTTCTATCTAGCTTTTTCCCAAAACTTTCTGACCCTCCCCTGGGCTTTCCTGAGGCATGGACCTTTTCTGAAGCATTTGGGGAGTACTATTTGTATTCTGTACTTGCTTACAGTAGCTGTGCACAAGGCACTTCTGTGGGTGTATGTTAATAAGTAGTTTTCCTGCTGGTTATTTCCTCTAGGTTGTTCTGTCTCTGGGTTATGATTTCTAAATTGGGAAATAGTGAGAATCTGAAATTCTTATTACATATAATGGCCCTTTGAAATTCTATTTAAAACTAAAACTACTTTTATTTTGAAATCCAACTGCTCTCATGTAGGTGGGGTTATAAAATTTTAGTGAAAACAAAACAGAAAATATCAATGCCAGCCTCCAAGAAATCACACCTGTGTAGTTAAAATAGTACTGTATCCAGCAGTGTTATTTGTGAGTGCCGTTTACCTGAGATCTATATCTTTTTGTATTGTTCTTTCACCATGAAAGACAACAGATACCCAGGGAACTGAAGTCTTACTTTAAGTGAAACCATGACACATTTGAAGAAGAATGCTTTCAGAGTTTCTGAACTTGGCTGTAGCCGTGCATGTCTTTTACAAGTTGAAAAAAGGAGGAATGAGGGCAAATAATCCCAAGCATGAAAAAGAAATTAAAATTTTAATTTTGGTTTTCTGATGACCATTTGTCCATGTTACATCCTTCAGCTCTGCCACCACTCTTTAAGGAAGAGCTAAAGGATAAAGAAGCAGAAGAGGGTGGAGAAGCTGCCCTGCATTGCGAGCTCACCAAGGCTGCTCCGGTGGAGTGGTGGAAGGACCAGAGGATTCTCAAAGCAAGTGGGAAATTCAAAATGAGGCAGGAAGGGACAAAGGCAGAGCTGCTGATTCATGAAGTAGCTGAGGAGGATGCAGGAGACTACACCTGTGTGTGTGGAGAGCAGCAGACTACAGCTGTCTTAACAGTACAGGGTAAAAACTATCTTGACCCTCCTACTTCCTAACTGGAAACATCTGTCCTTTATTGTAAGATGTTCAATTTTCCATGTCTGTTCAACCTTATTAACTGAAGTTCCATTCTTTTGAAGGTATTCCTTTTGTTTGATGATCTGCAGGCTGTGTTTATTGGAAAATACCCATCTGCGTTTTCCTGTGCCATCCTTTTGCTTTTTCTTGCCTTAATCATGGACCTGCTATCCTTTCATCTTCCCCTTCTGGCATTCTTTTCCTATAATTTAAACCCACTAATATTTTGTCTTTCCTTTCCTGCATTTATTCTCTAAACCACAAATTTGTTTATTCTTTGCCATTCCTTTCTGGCATTCTCAGTACCTACCATTTTAATGTAGTATAGGGTATAAAACACAGTATCCAGAACAAGGCTGTGTTAGTTACAATTTCACCTGGTAGAAAGCAGATGTAAATCTCTTGAAGACAGTGCAATTTTGCTAGTAGGACAGCATAAAACTACTGTATATTATACATATATTATTTTATTATATTTTATATGTATATTCCCACAAGGATGTTTTCATTTCTCTTTCGTCTCTTTGTTGCTGATCCTTCTCCTTCCATAACCTTCACAACTTTCCCCTGCCACTTCCTACTCATGGTCCCTGGAGATATCCTTAGTTTGTAATACTTTTCACCTGCATTCTTCAGCTGTGCCTCCATTTTTCCAAGAAGAACTGACCAGCAAGGAAGCAGTTGAAGGTGGAATGGTCACTTTGCAGTGTGAGCTCAGCAAGACATCTGCCCATGTTCAGTGGAAGAAGGGCCATCGCGTCCTCACCTCGGACAACAAGTACAGCATAAGACAGGAAGGCTGCGTTATGAAGCTGGCAGTTCACAATTTAGACTTGAATGATACTGGAGATTATAGCTGTGTGTGTGGAGACAAGACCACCACAGCTGCCTTAACAGTGCATGGTAAAGTAATCCCCAGTCTCTATTGCTATGGTCTGTCCTGTTCCCTTTCTGTTTGCTTGGGCTCTTGTGTTGCTTTGGACTTTACTTTTGTGCTCCCTCCTTGTGTTAGAATTAGGAAGAGAGTTGCCTGCTGGTGTTTGTCCTCTGCAGCTGTGCTGGTCCTTCTCACATTCCTTGCCCTGATGCAGCGTCCAGGGAAGCTGGGGGAGATTTTCCCATTGTGTTCCACTGACCTGGATCAGGGCTCAGTAATGTATCACGCGTCCTCTACCCCAGGACCTCACCTAGCTGCTTTTCAAGGGATATTCACTTTCTCTGTGGTAACTCTTTTACTCTTCAGCACTGCCTCCAGAATTCAAAAAAGACCTGAAGGACCTAGAAGCTGTAGAAAGTGGGACAGCTACTCTGCTCTGTGAGCTGACTAAACCTGCTGTGGTGCAGTGGAAGAAAGGGCAGGAGGTGCTCAAAGCAAACAGCAAATATAAAATGAGTCAAGATGGCGCTGTTACAAAGCTGATTATCCATGAGCTGGATGTGGAGGACACTGGAGATTACACTTGTGTGTGTGGAGATCAGCAGACAACTGCCACTCTGACAGTCAATGGTAAAAAAAAAAAAAAATAGAAGTTTGTATTTTTTAAAAGTAATACCTGTGGTTTAGCATCACTTACGCAGAAGAGCTCACTACAGTTCGTAAGGCATGCAGAACAGCATGATCTATACAGCCTAATAGAGTGAAGAAGGTGGAGAATGGGAATTGCCATGCAGAACTAAATGGCTTCTGTCAGTATGTTACTGTCAGGATAATTGTAATTTCTCTTGCAAGTGGTCTGTTTTAAGGAGGAATCTGAACTCTTGCATCTCCCTGCTAATCTTCAGCATACCTCTTCAGTGATCAGGGAAACGTTGGCTACTTTTATAGTAGAAAAAATATTCTGCCAGTTTTAGATCATAGATTAGAATAAAATGCTACATACTTTGTGGCAAACATCACTTCTTGAAATTGTTTTCTTCTTGTTCTGCAGATATTTCTATTACTTCTCTGGGGAAATAGCCTTTAAATCTAGAGCATTGAGGTTTAGGGACATCTGCAAAAAAGCTCTTCTGGTGCTTTGTTTTTCTTTCTAGTTTTCTTTCCCAAGCCCCAACTGCAGTATATTGCAAAATATGTTTCTATTTTATAGCCCTACCAGCACTTTTTAAACAAGAGCTTCAGAATACTGAGGCAGAAGAAGGTGGTAAAGCAACACTGAGGTGCGAGTTTACTAAACCCAACACTCCAGTAGAGTGGAAGAAAGGAGATATTACTCTCTATCCTGGTTTGAAATATGAGATGAAGCAGCAGGGTTCTGCTGCTGAACTGGTCATTCATGACTTAGAACTGGATGATTCAGGAACGTACACCTGCAACTCTGGACATCAGCAGACAACGGCTGTGGTTACTGTACATGGTAGGTGGAGTATTGACCTTTGGCTCTATAGACATGAAGTGAAAGGAGCCTCTCAGTGGTCTCTACCGCCATTTATCTGTTTTGCTGCCGATCCATGCCAGCATACATATTCTACTTGAGCATGACACATGACAAGTTAGAAAGGTTCTTCTTGCAGTATGTGAAGTGATTAATCATCATCAAAGCAATTAAATGTTATCATGATGTAAAAATGTGATGAACCCTCCTGCCTTCCGAGTACAGGGAGTGTGGCTGCATACGGAATGGATAACAGAAAATATGCCAGGCAGGCTGGTGGTTATTTTGGGGTTGTTGATTGCTTCAGTGGACAAATTGATCAGGCATAATGCCTGATTGGAATGATACGAGATGCAGTAATTGGTGGATAAAAGATTTATTTAATATTTGAATGTTCTGTATTATTACTTGAAGTTTTGAGCCTCAGGTGTAGAAAATTGCATCCACATCTGTTTTCCTCCACCTCTTCTACCATGCAAGAGCAAGACCTTGCAGGAAATCTGAATTTCCTCTCCCATTTACCACTTTATTGTCATCTTTTACTGTACTGCCTCTTCTAATCTTTTGAGTGATAACTTGATCTTTTATATTTTGATAGAAGCTTTATTTGGGGCGGAAATACTTTTCACTTAATATTTCAAGTTGGCAGACCTTTATTAAGGAACAAGGGTCCATGTAAGAAAGAACATATCCCAGTGATCTTTGACTAAAGTATCTGTAGTTGGCATGGAGACACTTCTTTAGGAAACCCTGATTCCTGCAGATCACAAACCAGACCATTCTATGGACCATTCTAAGACCAGATCTTTCCTAACTCCACCGTCTGTCCTGAGCTCTTGTTCACATAATGGTTCAAGAAGGATGCTTCCAAGACAGAGAGTTGCAGCCCAAGTATTGTGGAATCATTAGGATAGGCCATTTCTGAAGAATTATGCTAGGATTGGATCCTTTTCAGACAAAACACTCTTAAAACATTTCCCTCTCAAATTTTACAGAACTTCCTGTCACATTTAAACAACCCTTACAAAATAAAGAATCAGAGGAAGGAAGCACAGCTACATTCTGCTGTGAGCTGTCGAAACCCAATGCTGCAGTGGAATGGAGGAAAGGAGGAATAGGGCTGCAGCCCAGCCAGAAATATGAAATGAGGCAGAAGGAATGCCTGGTAGAGCTCTTAATACATAATCTCAAATTAGAAGATACAGGAGAATACAGCTGTGACACTGGGGATCAGGAAACCAAGGCATCCTTAAGAGTGAAAGGTAGGTTGTAAGAGAATGGAAGAGAATGATACTTTGTTCTTCTAGTGCTGGATTTGAGTTTTGGTTTCTAAGGAGGAATACGTTCTTGCTTTATGGCTGGGGAGAAATTAAAAAAAGAACAATACTTTAACATAATATCTGGATATTACATGACATGGTTTACGTATTTTAAAAAAGATTTTCTTCCAAATCCTGGAAGAAGACTGACAATGATGTTCCTGATCTGCCAAGGCTGTTCATGAAGTTTGAACTTCGTTACTCTTGAAACCATTGTTAGCGCAACTGAAGGATAAATTAACTAAAAAAATTCCACCCCGGCAAGGATTTGAGTCACGGAACAAAGGAAATAAATGTTATAATTTCAGATGGCTGCTTTTAACACAGCAAGATCTCCTAGAGGCTCCAGGCAAATTAGAAAACATGGATCCTGCCTAGGAATATAGCACTTGAAGCACAGTATCTTGTTCTCCAAAGTGTCTGTCTAACTGTGTTAACCAGGACTTGACTCAGGCTTCAATAAAAGCTCCTGTTGCTTCTTTTTTTTTCCTTCCCCTTTAGCTCTGCCAGTTCTTTTCAAAAAGGAGCTGAAAGACAAGGAGGCAGAAGAGGGAGCTGTGGTGAAATTCCAGTGTGAGCTAACAAAGGATAATGCAACAGTGGAGTGGAGGAAAGGCACCATGGAGATCTTCCCATGCGCCAAATATGATATTAAATTAAGTGGTCGCACAGCTGAACTTGTGATTCATCATGTAGAACCAGAAGATGCCTCTGATTACACATGTGATACAGGAGACCAGCAGAGCTCAGCATTCCTCAGAGTGAATGGTTAGCATTTCATCAAGATGCAAGAAAGGATAGAAGGGATTTATGAAATTGTGTGATTATATTCTTCTCTTTATTGGTGACTAAGCCCCCCGAGAACTTAAGATAATGAGGGAAACAGGCGCCCAGTCATAAGCCAGAATATAGAAAAGTGGATCTTGTGGGACAGGATTTGTAGAATGTCTGTTTAAGCCTTTAAAGCACAGCATACAGTGTATTGACCCTTTCCTCTTACATGATAAAAGCAAGAAACTCTGCATCATGGGGATTTTGAATTCTAATAGATCTTTATTTTTTGCACTTTGCATTCATTGCTGGCTCAGTTGAATCAATAACTAATCATAAGTCATCTACAAAAGCATTTAAAAAAATTACTATTTTCAATTTCTGTAATGCCTCCCTATGAAGGTCCTGAGAACACGGTGTTTACACAAACCAGGAATACTGCCTGTGATTAATCACTGTCTGTGAAATGTTTGTGGTCATCTCAAACTGCTGGGTGGAACTTGTGGCTCTAACCTAATCCACAGCCTTTCAGACTGCATCAGCAGCCACTGGGTCAACTACAAATGAAAGAGCCCTGTGATTGCTTTGCGTGTATCACAATAGGGTTTAGACAGAGGAACCACAAGCACTGAGATTCTTGTTTATACAACTGCTGTCACACATACTAGATGGATATTCCCTTCTAGTTTTCATCAGTGACAAGCTGTTGTCTGAGCTGTTCCATGCCCTGCTTGAATAAATGTGGTCCATTTGTTGGTGCATCATCTGGAAGGACTCGTTGATCGTCTAGGTTCTTGAAAATAGCAGAGAAATCAGAAATGTGTTTGAAGCTTTACATCTTTAGAGTGTTGAAGTCATGAGTATTTCTATAAAAAATAATAGATTTTTCTAGATTTAATCAGAAAGTACCAGGTTTTGCTCACCAGAGCTCTTTACATGTGTGGGAATTTCCAATATCCAGAGCAGACGTATAAAGGGTGTTATGTGGATGTCCTTGACTTCATGGGAAACAAACACACTTGGTGAACTTTCTGATCCTCTCTTTGTCTATATATACATAATGTAGATGTGTTTATGGAGCAAAAAGGGTTGTTATTATTGCATAACCACCTCATGCAAATTCATGCTGCAGCACCAGGCCCCAGGTGCTTCGTGCTGACTTGTGCAGACCTGGCATTCAAGCCAAAACATCAAGTATTAATTTTCACTTTGCAGCCATCAAACCACATCTGAAGCAGCACCTGAAGAATGAAGAAGTGGAAGTAGGAGGAACAGCCAGGCTGCGCTGTGAGATTTCTATTAGCAAAGCAGAAGTGGAGTGGAGGAAAGATGGAGTGCTCCTTCACTCAAGCTCCAAGTATGAAATGTGGCAGGATGGCACCCTCCATGAGCTGCGTGTTCACCGCCTGGAGGCTGGTGATTCTGGAGAGTATTCTTGCAAGGCTGGAGATGAGACGAGCTCTGCAAAACTGACCGTGAGAGGTAAGACCCGTTTATTTGGGCAAGGGGGTTTTCAGTGTTGGATGCTAAGATTTTGCAGCATGATTGTTACCAATTGTGATAAATGACTGTGCTGAACTACTGTGATAAACACAGAGCACAGAAAGGGTATCATGAAAAAAGTCATGGTCAGTGAATGCACCAAAGCAAAGATTTGCTTTGTGGACAGGAGACGATAAGGCAACTGTAATTTTTGACTCATGGCTTGAAATATTTGTTTGACATCATATGCATGTGAGTGAACAGATGGTTCACCCCCAGCTTCCAGCCACATGGCGACTGCATCTGGCCTTAATGTTGTTACAGACAGAGCTTGCTCTCAGTTAGGACCATGAGTGTGGAACAATCACCACCAGCATCTCTACAGGCTACTTGATATTGTAGATATGTCATGCCCAGCTGCACCATTTTTCATGCTGATGGTGACCTCAGTTGCATGAATATGTACTGTGTTTGCTCAGATGGAGATTGCACTGCTTTTCCTCTGATATTCCCCAGCAGATTCAGGGTACATACAGCTTCTGCCTGTTGCAGTCTGCCTGTATGACCTTTGCACAGATCCACAGGGGCCCAGCTGTCCTAGAAGCTGGACTCAAGCTAAGTGAAGTGCAAATGTGCTCATGCTAATCCAGTAAGTCCTGCTGAGAGCACAGAGCCAACCAGATCCCAGCCAGTCTGGAGCATCAGCACAGAGTATATGCAATTTTGTTTGCAAAAAGACAGTAGAGGGGATCAGGTTTTAATGTTATTCTCTGATAATATCTAAGTGCAAATGTAACGAATTTCAAAATCCTGATTTTGGCATCTGGCATTTATGCCTTATTCATTCAATTACAGTATCAAACATGTAATTAAACATAAAATAAAAATCAATATGCAGTGTATCATTTAGAAAGGGCAAGTGATAAAACCCCTGAATGAAAAATATTGGCCATGTTACCATGTACGCTAGGATTAGTGAGCCAGTATAGTTTGAGACATGATTTGAGAGGCTGTGCTATCTCCATCCTTGGAGGTAAAGCTCAACTGGACAAGGTACTGAGCAACCTGCTGTAGGCTAGTCCTGCTTTGAGCAGTGGTTGGACCAGATGACCTCCAGAAGTCCACTCCAACCTACATTGTTAAATGATTCTGTGATTTGATCCATGTTTCCCCTTTCACGGCTTGACTGATGGACTCTTTACAGAACCTGATGTGACCATCGTGAGTGGCCTAAAGGACATGGTGGTGTTTGAGGGGGATGATGTTACATTTCGGTGCCAGGTTTCTCACGAGAATGCAAGGGATGTTGAATGGAAGCTACAGGGTGTTGCTCTGCAAAATAATGAAATGAATGAGATCTCAGTGGAAAAAGGAAAGATTCACACTCTGACATTAAGGAAGGTGACTGAGCAGGACATCGGCACCATCACGTTCCGAGTGGGACCCCACATGTCAACAGCAGAGCTCATGGTAAAAGGTAAGGTCTCTCTGTGATGTGGGAAAGGAATAGATTGATGAGAAAAGGTGAATTTTTGCTTATGATAAGAGTAAATTCAAGGCCATTATTCACTCCTTGTTAACTTATGTAAGTAGGGTGCTTGTGCTTCACAGCATACATAACGTACTGATACGGTCTCATAGACTGTCATGTCTGTGGATAGGCAGTGGTTATGTCACCAGGGTCCCAAAGCTAACTGGTTTCTAAAAGAAATTACTAGGTTGGCTCTAGTAGTTATAGATAGATTCTCTATTTTTCATTGCTTCTCCTTTCCTGTTTGGTTTTTTTTCCTCCTTTGGAAGAAAAACTTCCTTTTTCTTTCTCTAAATATTGTTTTGAAGAAATTCTCAGTCAAACATCCTTCTTCTCTTTTTGAAGTTTACTTTAACCCCACAATATAAAACACAGAAATTAAAGTGGGGTTTTTTTATACATAACTGTTCAGCTGTGGCTTTATCACCACAAAGAAACAAGATAAAGATGACTGTAAATGCCTTTGCTGTGTCTGTAATTTCAGTGCCACCTCCAGTCTTCAAGCAGAAATTACAGAGCATAGAACTGCAGGAAGAAGAAACAGCCATTCTCTGCTGCGAGGTCTCCCAGGCTGATGCTGTGGTGGTGTGGAAGAAGGGCACTCAGGTGATTTCTCCAAGCTCCAAGTATGAAATCAGGCAGGAAGGAACAATCCATACTTTAAAGATTTATCACTTAAACCCAGAAGACTCTGGCAAATATACCTGTGATAATGGAAATGAACAAACAATAGCCAGTTTAACTGTTAAAGGTAGGTTGTTTTGTTTCGTTTTCTTTTTAAAAAGAGAAACTTGTTCCACTTCGTAGCTTAGCACTAGCAAGAGGGTGCTGTCTACTGTCCTTGATTTCACATGTACTTTGGTGGCATAAAGCAGCTAAGTCCTTTTGCTTTCAGAAGTTAAGTCCTGTGGTGTCCTGAGCAATGAATATGAAGAGATCCAAATGCAGTAACTGCTTCCACAATCCTAGACCCAAGGGCCTCTTTCTGTCACTCAGAAAACCAAGGCTGAAACTGAAATTAGCATAAGACCATTTTTGATGCTTAACCAACTTTTGAGTTCCATCTGGGAAAATGGTGCTCAAGAGTAAAGTGCTCAAACTTACTTGGGGACTCAACTTCAGCTGAGGAGTAAGGCGTCTAAATAATTCCAGTCCCTAGGGTCTTAAAAATAGGTTTAATGTGCAATATATTAATTTTTTAAAATCCACGCTGGTACCAATACAATGTTAAGGTGACTCTTTCTGAGATATAAGATCAGCAAAAATAAAGAGGAGCCAGGATGTTTTGGGGAACTGCCATCTTTTGAAATATCCCTTGAGGGCTTTCCCATGAAGGGCACACATCTACCTGCTATCACACTAAATCCAGGATTCAATGGTACCAGAATAGTTGTACTCTAAGTGGATTATTTGGTGGTGGCTGTCCGTTTGTGTCTCTATGCACTGTCCTAAACCAAGAGGAGCTATACTTCTATATGTGGCACATTGTAAATCAACCCATCAAAACCCTATCTTAACCCATCACGGATACACATCAGTACAGAGATTTTCATAGTTCATCTCTCTTCTGAGTCCAGTTTTTAAATGAAGGGCATATAATGTTTTTCCATACACCTCCCAAATACCCAATAACTTAGACATCAGGTGTAGGCTTTTGAATTGTGCCTTTGATACCCATTTGGAGATACCTGCACTTAGATGCTCAAGAGTCCATATCCATGACTGCTCCTTTGTAAGAAGAAACACATTCCCAGAGGTGTCCAGTGACTCTTGAGGAGTGCAGAGTGCTTAGTGCTTCTGGAAATCCAGCATTTTTTGTCATTCCTTGTTTGGGCTTTAAAGTAATTTTGGAATTGAGTTTGGACCTACTTTGTAATAGCACCATAGTTTCATTAAACACAAGACTTAATGACACAGTCATCAGTGAAACATAACTTCTTTTCCTCTGATTTATCTTGATTTAGCTTTGCCAGTAACCTTCACACAACCGCTCCAGAACCAGCAAGCTGAAGCAGGTGGCACCATTACTTTGAGCTGTGAAATCTCAAAATCAAATGCCACTGTGCAGTGGAAGAAGGCCGGGACAGTGCTGCGACCAAGCAACAAATACAAGATGCATCAAACTGGATCTATGGCTGAGCTGACAATTCACAACCTGAGTGAAGCTGATGCTGGGGAATACATGTGTGACTCAGGGGACCAGCAAACCACTGCATCTGTGCTCGTGAAAGGTGGGGCTTTGCATGGGGAAGGGCTGAACAGAGCTTGGTACTGTGGCAGGGGCACATGATGAAGTAATTTGGCAGCTAGACATTGCCCAGTGCACAAACTGAATCATGGGAATCTCAGAAACAAGAGTGATTTCAGAGGGATAAGAACTGGGTCAGTTATCTCTAGGGAATCAGAAATGGGTCTTTAGTCAATGATTCTGTGGTTTAATGTTAATGTCACCCACTAAAATCTGATGACAATGTTTCCACAATACATAGATTGCATTATAAGTATATATTTTATATTTATACTGCACACAATGCAGTATAACATGCAGACTTCGTAGACTATCATATATATGTGCATAATATATATGTACACGTACATTACGCATTTGTAAGAATGTAACATGTTACTACATGCCCATGTAACTACATTTCCATGCATTTATTGCTTAGCGCTTTGTGGTTATTCTTTCAAAAAATATAGTACTGCCAAGAAAGAGCATAACAAAATGTTTAACCTAGGAAGCATCACTTGAAAGTAGGTATCAAACTCTGTTGACCTTTCCATAAAGAACCAGCAGCAACCATAGTGGAGATGCTGAAGGATGTCACTTCGCGTGAAGGAGAAGATGCAGTGTTTGAATGCAGGCTGTCACGGGAAACAACTCAGGAGGCCCAGTGGTTCCTGGGGGATGTTCCCCTGCAATCCAATGAAATGAATGAGATCAGAGTCCAAGGGACGTGTCACACTTTGATCCTGAGGAAGGTGACACTAGAAGATTCTGGGCCCATCAGTTTCAAAGTGGGGCAGCATACCTCAGCAGCACAGCTAACGGTTCAAGGTGAGCAACCATCCTAAGAAGAGGGATTGAGCAGGTACTGATGAGCACTGTCAACATTGTTTTAGCTTCAGAAGAGGTGTATTTGGGAGGAGGGGTCCTTGGAAAATTTGTGAGATTCTGCTAACCTAATTTAGGCATTTAAGAGTCAGAGATATACAGCTGAGCTAGTCATTTCAGTCCTTTTTATAGTCCACAGAGTGAAGGAGGGATGGGCAGCCACAGCTTCTCTGGGCAACCTGTGCCAGTGCCTCACCACCCTCACAGGGAAGAACATCTTCCTTATATCTGATCTAAGTCTCTATCCTCTTCCATTTTAAAGCCATTCCCCCTTGTCCTGTCACTACTTGCTCTTACAAATAGGCACCCAGTCCTGATCTGGGGGGCAATGCTGAATTAAGCAGTTGCAGCAGTGTTGGTACCCTCTTCCCCACAGTTGCTCCGATCACCTTTGTAAAGGCACTCCACAGCTTGGAGCTACAGGAGGGTGGCACAGCTCACTTATCCTGTGAAGTGTCCAAGCCTGATGTCCCAGTGGAGTGGAAGAAAGGCACATCCGTGATCCGCTCCAGCCAGAAGTGTAGCATCAAGCAGGAGGGGAATGTGCACGTGCTGGTCATTCACGATTTGAACCGTGCAGACACAGGGGAGTACAGCTGCCACACAGCTGATGGGAAGACCACTGCCAGGTTAGAGGTTAAAGGTATGTTTTCCATTTTGCTCAGCAGTGGTGAGAGGTCTGTGTATCAATTTTTGGAGCTCTGTGGTACAAAACAGACATTGAGGTAGTGGAGCAAGTACAGTATAGGCCACCAAGTTCATCAGGGGATGCACATGATGTATAAGGAGAGGACAGGGCAGCTGGATTTGTTCAGGCCAGGGAAAGAAGGTTGAGGCGAGACCTCATTGCTGTTGTTTATGGCTTCCTAATGAGGCTCTACAGAAAAAAGAGGCAGATTTTTCTTGCTCAGAAAACAGATGAGAGGCAACAAGTGCAAGCTGCAACAGAAGAAATCCAGATTGGGGAAAAAACCCTAACCTTTCACAATTAATCAGTGGCCAGACTCTGGAACTGGGACCCAGAGAAGTGGAGGAATCTCCATCCATGGAAGACCACCAAAGGTCCTGTCAGACTTAATTATTCTGGAATTCATGCCTAGCTTCATGATCTGAAGCCTTAAGTTTGCAGGTATATATTCTTTGAGTGCTTTTATCCTGTTCCATGGTTTTATTTTGGGGACGCAAAACCATCCGGGCTTCAGAAATTATTATTGAAGTTATTCAGGAATTCCTTGTGAAAAGAAGTCTAAGATTTGGGGAGAGAAATGCAGCTCTCTCTGTCTTAAGACTGACAGGAGCAGGGATGCCTACCTCTTCTTAGGTCAATGCAGCCAGAATTGTGCATGAACTTCATGAATGGCGTTCTCAGTACCTTAAAAGCAAAACATTCCTCTATTTTCTATTTTTATTTCACCCGTTTTTTTTTCTCTTTGCACCATCTCCCCTTTCAAGCCTTGCCTGTGCTTTTCAAACGCTGGCTGAAAAACGAGGAGGTGGAGGAAGGGGGCACAGTCATGCTACACTGTGAGCTGACGAAACCCAACGCACCTGTGGAATGGAGGAAAGGAGATAAGGTGCTGCAGTCAAGTGACAAGTATGAAATCCGGCAAGAGGGGACACATGTTGAGCTCTTCATCTATGATGCTGAGGCTCAGGATGCTGGTGATTATACATGTGACTCGGGGGATCAGCAGACCACTGCATCATTGCAAGTCAAAGGTAGGAGAAGCCTTGCTTGAAGGCAGAGAAGTTATGGCTGTGGCTGCCTTCCATAGGGGTGATACGGAAGTTTTATCACTGAATTATCATTAAAAAATCTGATAATTTGTGAACAATCTGTGAATTACAACTGCAGGAAATTGTTTGATCTGCAATCTGTTCTTCAAACAAGAATTTAGTGCTTTTAAACCCTATTCTATTTCTGCAGCTGCAATTTTGATCACATTGTGAGAGCTGGGAGCAAAATTACAGCTGCTGCTAATGACAAGTATGTACAAGAGCAGTTAGAAAACTTATAAGAGACTGGAGTATTTCACCATACACAGAACACACCTATTTTAAATTAAGCCATTATACCTACTTGTGCCTGAGCAGCCCAAGAATTGTGGCTCTCTGCCTTTTTCTTGTGGCTGTGGTTTTGGATTTCATAGTTTTATTCATTTTATATTAAGAGTGCTTGGTTATACTAAATTGACTTGATCCTGAGTTTAGCCATCATAATGAGCTCCTGCTCAGAGCGTGTGGTTTCAGCAATTAAATGTCCAAATGTTGTGATTGGTACTGTTGTGCCTCTACCTGCTCACACTGAAAATTGTGGGTTTGCCCATATGAACCCCCTTTAGAGGTCCTGTGACCTATGGCAATACTTTATGGAGCAGCAGTGGACACCCTTGTAGTATCAGAGGATGATCTGATGAGTGCCTGGCTATGGCACGACTCAAAATCCTGCTCTGAACTTGGCATTGCCAACAGACAAGTTGTGGTTCAGAAACAGGGGAACTGCCAAGCTGGATAAGTTGCAGCAAGTTTCTCACATCTGAGCAGTGTCACTGATGGAGCTGCTTCTCTACTACAGTACTACCTGTGCTGTTTAACGAAGAGCTGAAAAACGTAGAGTCTGAAGAAGGGGGAACAGCTGTCTTGCACTGTGAGATCTCCAAGCCTGATGCCCCTGTTGAGTGGAGAAAAGGAGGGGTGATCATTCAGCCCAGTGACAAGTACGAGATGAAGCTGAAAGGCAGAATTGCTGAGCTGATCATTCATGGTATAGAGCCTGATGATTGTGGGGATTATACCTGTAGCACTGGATACGAGATCACTACAGCTTCTGTGTATGTGCAAGGTAAGGTGAAATGTGGCGGAAATGTTACGATTTTGCTGCCTGGATTTCTTGTTCCAAAATCTTTGACAGTAATTGGCCAAACTTGCCTCAGATGCAAACAGTTGAAAGTCCATTCATTTCTTTCCGATTTCAATGTTGAGATAAACTCCTACCTCCAGGCTGAGGTTGGACCAACGTTTATAAGTTAAGGTAGTTCAAAGTACTGACTGTACTACATACCATAGTAGATGGTGGTACTGCTGAAAAACTATTTGCTTGAGCAGTGGTGATGAAAAATACAGAAATTGTTGTTATTACTGATTACAGCTTCTATCACTGATACTCTTAATATTCTTTTAAAGTACTGCAAATAAATATTTAAATCTTAAGCTACCTCTCTGCCTCCCACCTCATACAATGTCAGTGCAGATGGTTGCCACGCACAGGAAAGCCAATCATGACTGGAGTCCTGGTCCTGGAGTAGAATTTCCTCACAAAGAAACAGTGTTTGCAGACGCACACAATGTGCTTGCAAGCAAGTGAAGAATGGAAGGTGATTTCTAAATCCCTTAAAGAAAATTTTAGTTCTTTTTTTTCCCTGGAACAGCATTACAAGTTTAACTCTTCTGGACAACTTGCACTGTTGCTTGGGCTAGTCTGCTGGAAACAACATGTATGTGTTCATGCTTTTTTTTCCTTTGGCACCTTCTCTTGCTCTGTTATACAGAAGAAGCAGCAGTCATAGTTTCTGGTTTAAAGAACACAGACGTCTTTGTTGGTGAGTCAGCCACATTCACCTGTGAGCTCTCGCACCCAGGCGTGAAGAACGTGCAGTGGTGGCTTGATGGATCTCCCCTTCACAACAACTTTGTGACTGAAATCTCTGAGCAGGACGGGATAATCCACACTTTAACCCTAAATGACGTGGCGTGCCATGACTCGGGCACTGTCACCTTCAGAGCTGGGTCCCTTATATCTACAGCTAAATTATTAGTCAAAGGTATTTCTTAGAAAGAAACACATGGCCACCTCTGGACTTGCTCAGTGTGCTAGTGCTTCTGCCTTCCAGGGTACCCTTACCAAATCCCTTAACAGTTCTTCTGCGTTCTGCAACCCTCCACTTCTGCAAGTCACACGTACCTTATGCCAGAAGCCTTAGAGGTACAACCGCATTGTTTTTGAGTGGTTTGGGTGAGGAAGGGTTGCAGGATCAGGGCTGCTGCTTTCTCCTGACATCTAAGTAGAGCTGAACATAAACCGCTGTGGTAACACCTGATTTCTTTTATTCCCCCTGCAACTGTTTCTGTAATACCACAAATATTATGTAACTGGAAATTCATAAAATTACCACCGTGATGCTCCGTGCCTAGGCTACTGGTGCTGAGCTCAGTATGTTCCTGAGACAAGACTTTGGGACGTTATGTTGATGGCTCCAGAGCTCTTCCTGGAAACCGACGGTGCATGACATTGCAGTAACACAGTGACAAAATGAACCTTGTTTTTTGACTGCCAGAATAGTAATGGTCATCACTGCACTAGTAAAGCTTTCTGGTCTGTTAGATAAATATTTTTCTCATTTGGTAAGGGTAGCCTTACAATCTGCAAATAACACTGAGCTCCAGACTCAATAAAGCAAGCTCCTTCACATCCAATCCTTTTATAGCCATTGGGAAAAGCTTTTATTTTTCATGCAAAATAATATTTATTCCTAGCTTGGAAAAGGGATTTTTATATATGGAGATATGAAGGGTTAAGAGTTCTTTATAGAAATCTACACCAATGCTATAACTGTCTGGTTTTGGACTACCATAATGTGGTAGACCATAATTTGAGCTGTCATAATATGAATGATCCACAGTATGGGATTGTAGTTGGTGGTTGATATTTCCTTCTCTGTATATGTCTCCTGTACATTCATAACATTTAGCTCTCAGATAAAATGCCAAATTCACTTCTTCCTAATATCAGAATGAAGCAGCAACAACATAGAGTGCAAGCCCTACAAATCCCATGTCCATTTGTATCAATTTTGAGTTTCGCATTTTCAGAGACAGAATCTGGTTCTGAGTTATCCAGGCAAAGAACTCCAGTGGGCCTAAAACAGGAAGTAAAAATAAATGCATCATTAGATATTCTACTCAGTCAAATAAAGGACTCCTGAAAAGTTTTCATTTCACAATAACACAGCGTTATTGATGTTGAAAGGGACCTCTGGAAATAATTTAGGCCAGTCCCACAGCTCATGCTAGCACACATATGTGTGTGGATATTTTGTACTTCTGTCTAGGCAGGATTTCTTAATGTGAACATGAATCATGGTAGTATATGACTATAAATGGATTAGAATGTGAAAGGTATTTAAATAACACCCCAGTTATACTATGCTCAGTAACACTTGACTTAATAGGAAAGTAAAATTTGTGTTTGTGTTAACAGCCAATTTAAAGCACTTTATTTTGTCCGAAAGTTTAAAAATAGATCTGTCTTTGACCTAGGTGTATTTCAGTCTGTCTAGCTATCCATGCCTTGTTCTTCATCAGGGAACAAAATGTTTTTCTCTCTACTTCATGTGCCTGTTCTCCTGGTGTAAAGCATGCTTGTAACTGGATATATTCTATAGCAAGTGAGACCACATGACAGCTTTCCTTGTTGGGCCTTCACAATATCACTGCTCTACAACTGCATTCATACAGTGGCACAGCGTGATGGCATCTTCCTGTATGGGTGGGGGAAAATGGAAAAGGTTAAAGGAGATGCCGCCACTTGCTGACCTGTTTGGGCAGCATGGGAATTCCAGGTTCCAGTGTACACATTGGCTCCCAAGTCCCAGAGAGCTTTTTGCCATTCTGCATCAGTGAGCCACCAAGGTCTTAGCCTAGTAGTGGCAAAGAGCAGTGGGACAATGGAACCAGGACACCTTCCTTCTCCAAGACCACAGGTGACATTTGCTGTAAGGAGCACATCAGTATCTTATGAAAGGAGATGGTATTTTACTCCCCAGCTGCACAGATACCTCCTGGTTTCTTCAGTCCTGGTGTAACCAAAGCATCCCCACAATCTGCCACTGATGTCTTCTTTCCATGAACACACATGCTGGAAGAGTGGCAGAGGAAGTGGCAGAGGAAGCGGCAGAAGAAGCCTTAAGGAGCAGGATCAAGCCTTGCAGCAAGTTTCCAAAAGACATTTGGAAAACCATGTTTGCTTCCCAAAGTCTGCTAGTAGCATCCCAAATCCTCAGCCTGTTTCACCAGTCTCAAGAGGAGCATTCCAGACAGAGGTCCAGTGTAGTTTATTGTAGCTGGCTTATAATCAGAACAGCTATTTGAAAGATAAGGACATAGATCAGCTTTCTCTGTCATCTTTTTATATCCCATTGTAGCCCTATCAATTTGAGGGGCAAGTTGACATAGTTCTGCTGAGAAAGATGTTGCAAGGAGAGTTCCATTTTCAGATTTCTCTGAGATTTTTCTTTTTAGCATATGTTTTGCAGTTGTATGTGGGTGGTTCACTTTGACATCTCAGGAGGAACTCCTTAGGTGCTTTCACAATATTTTGAGGTTAGATATATCTGCTGTGCCTTACGGCTACCTCCCAAGAAGCAGAACTAGTATTTTAAGAAAAAGACTGCATACTTAAAAGCAGCCTCATGGATCTCACCTTTTCAGAGGAGCTGCATACCCAGCTGCTTTCACCATTTTATAGGCTCTCTGAGATTGCAATGATTCATGCCACATCTCTGCCTTCAGCTGCTGTAAAGAAAATCGTATTACTTTTCCCCCAAACTATGTCTCTGCTGCAGAGGAACACATGGTTAATCAAAACAATAAGTACCTGTCTCCTGTGAAGTGCTCTTTTTTGTTGCAGTTGTCCTGGATCTTTGCTCCTCATGCTGCCAATGACTCCTGATATGTAGCCAGCACAGGACAGGAATGAGCATTTGCATTTGAGTGCTGCATTTCTTTCCAATGAGTGGTTGCAGTTTGCTCATACACGGAACCTTCAGTAGAGTTTGTGGCATTTTCCTATTGCTATATGAGGTTGACAGTTATAAGGAACCATTCAAAGCAATCCATCCATTGCAGTTCTCTGTCTCACATTGTGCTCCTGCCACATTCTGAGAAGAAGTGTTTCACATCTGGTGCTTCCCAGTCTAGAGGATTTCAGCAATGCTGGGAGAAAAAATAAGCCTGGAGGGAACTCCAGCAGACGTTATGCACAGAAGTTCATATTCAGGACTATTAAAGCACAAACCTTAACTGCTGATGGCCCATTTTCCAGTGTGATTGTTATATTCTAATGTACCAGTTTTGCTTCAATCCTGCTTGATGCTGACACAAGCACAGACTAAACTGCTAATCCACTGTGTGCCCAGTCAGCTTCCTGCTTGCACTGCCATTCTGCTTGCTCCTCACAAGCTCTGTGCTTGACAAAAAACATTAAGTTGCAATCTCCATGAGGATCCACTAATGCATGTCCTTCCTGACGTGTTGGTTAACAGATCCAACCATTGAAGTGGTCAGTCCCATGCAGGATATAACTGTTGATGAAGATGGCACAGCAGAATTCATATGCCAATACTCTAGGCCAGTACACGCCATATGGAAGAAAAATGATCAGGAAATACATGCAGATGGGCAGCGAGTGATTATCGATCAGGACTGGAATGTAAGCATGCTAAAAATTAAACCTACGGTACCAGAAGACACTGGCATCTATTCTTGTGAAGCTGAAGGCATTAAAGTGATGGCTACACTTGATGTTCAAGGTGAGGTCTTCCAGCCAAAGAGGAAGACTATCATGGGTTCCAAATAAAAGAGGTGGAAAAATCATGGCAGCACCTCTCAATAAGTGACACACAAGATACCCACTTTTTGGTGTCCACTCCAGTACTGATAATGATGATACAAGTAGTTGGGAGTTAATGGGAACTGAATATGAAACTGCAGCATTTGACTGAAGCTTAGTTCTAATTAATGCTGACTTATTGCAGCACTTGCACATCATGCCTCTTCTAAAATGAACTGGAACATCAGTGTAATGGGATATGTCCTGCTGAATTGTTGCAAAATCACGGATTAATGTTGGTCCAAAAAAATGATCTAACTACTTTTGCTCTTACAGAGTGCTTTTTACACACAGTAATGGGTAGCGTGTAAATTCATTTTCTTTTCAGCTAAGCTAAGGTAGCTTGGTATTTTACTTATTTCAAATACTGATCACTCAGGGATTACCCTCCTTCTCACTTGGCATCAGCATTTGTGAGGGCCCTGAGAAACAATGAATAAAAATATTACCAATAGGATTACAATTTTATATTGATGTTTCTTTTTTTACCTCTGCTGTTTATGGAATTTATGGTTTTGGTCACCAGGTGGATCAATGTAATCAATGAAGCAGTGGTTCTTATTTGATTTGGGAATATTTGTGACAATTATGCCTTCTTGCTTAACCGGAGTTGTTAGTACAGAAGAGCAGGGTATTATTTATTAAAATATTTTCTACATTGACAGGCACTTTCCATTTTAGGGATTTTAAAAGATGTTAATGAGCGTAATCTAAAAGCATCCCAGAGGAGGTAGGATTTACAATTAGCTGGTTTTTGTAGTTTGGGAAACCAGTGCTCAAAAAGTGCACAAATAAACAGCTTGCATTTGTTCTAACAAAATTATACTTCCTCCAGGGATTTACAAACCCCTCATTATTATCCATAAGTATTATTATTATAAAGTACAGATTTATTTTTTTTTTTAGTAATTCATGATGGAGGGGGGGTGTTCCTATTAAATAAATTGTTCTTTTTTTTTTTTTTTTTTCTTTTTTTCTTTTTGATTAGAACAGTTCCAGATAATAGTTACAGAGATCTAAACAGGAATGTCTCAGGGCATTGGTTTATATTATAGGTCATGCTGACCATTGTATGGTATTGGCATTTGTGTAAACTATATTTACTCCAGTGTGTGTTCCCACTGTAGTGCATGTATTTGTCCATGTAGCTGGTCTGATACGAATTATATTGGCATGCACCAGCCCACATTTAATTTTGTATCAATCTGATAGAAATGCCAACCAATGCATGCAAATAGTTGTGTAGTACATGCATGTTTCTGACCACACAATTCACTACACACGCATGTGAAAATAAACCTAATACATTATCACAGAGCTTCTGTAATAATTCAGAAATCTACCATGCAAAATACTGTTAATACAGATTTTAACTTCCTGTGTGTTTCCCAGAGGCAGATTTGTTAATGCAGATTACTGTCACTATGGCTTAGCCACCTATAATATTCTCTCATACTTGCTTTGCAAGAAAGAAAGATTTTATCATGTGCTGTCAATGGATTCAAATCTCCCCAGTTATGATGATAATTGTGCTGCCTGGAACATATGTGGGAAATGTTCCCTACTGTGGGACAGAGGAATTTGATTATCTTCCTGAGCTACCCCTTCCTATTGACTATTGGCCTGGTTCATATAAACACCACCCTTTTGTTCTTTACTTGTAAAAACAGAAATCAGTTTTCAGGTGGAAGCCTAGATGAAATACGAGACATCTTAGAGGTTTATAGTTATTTTAAAACTATCATCTCACTACTTAATTTTTTTAAAATACAGTGTTGTGTTAGAGAGTGGTTGAAATCAGTAATTAAACCTACAAGCACAGCTTATCACATCCACATCCTTTCCATCAGCTTTCCAGCAGTGGGAATCATCCAGTGCTCCAAGGCTTGTTAAAATTCAGATATGCATGGCCAAACAATTAATACCGTTCATTGTCCTTCTTTGCTAGCCAAGAACAGCATTGTCCAGGGCTTGGAGAATGTGGAAACTGTGGAAGGAGGGGAAGCCCTGTTTGAATGTTATCTTTCTAAGCCTGAGTGCTACAACTACAGCTGGTTGATTGATGATGAACCTGCCAAAACTACAGAAAATACTGAAATGGTTTACTTTGAAAATGGGCTCAGGCATCTCCTGCTGCTGAAGAACCTAACTCCCCGGGACAGCTGCAGGGTGACCTTTATGTGCAGTGACGCAGTGACCTCAGCCTTCCTGACAGTGAAAGGTAATCGAAGCGCTCATGCACAGGGAGTCTTACATTTCTTGTTGGAAAGAGCAAATGAGCAAGGAAAACACAACGAGTAGCAGAGAGGAAAAATTGCATTTGCTACTTGCTTCTTACCTAAATCTTCTTCCCGCACAGTAAATGGATGATATTTTACAATTTCCTTTTTTTTTTCCCCTTGTTCCATGTGCTATGACATGGATATAAGCAGCATCAGCTGATAATGAGTTATCAGCAAAGGACTGTCTTACAGTTGTCATTATTCTGCTGAGTTGAGTTTATAAGTACTTGAGGCCTTTAAAGATGAGAGTTATATCACTAAAAACATTATCTCTGCATGATTGTCTTTTATGCCATTACTGGAGACCCCTGTGGGGATTAGAACCCCTTCAGAGTACAAGAACAGCCATCCTTAGTCATAACATAGTATCTCCATTGTGTTTTTCTGCTACTTGGGAAGGAAATACATTGCTATGTTGGGTTTTGCTCCTGAAAGTTTTTTGAAGTTTCAGTCCCCAGTGACACCTTCTGTTCTAGCAATATACGTAACCTCTCTTTTAATGATACCTTGGTTTTCAAGGCCTGATTGTCCAGAGCTTCAGCATAAATATTCACAAAATCGCTTGCTTTTATCTATTCCTGTAACTGAGGGGCTTTCCACCTGTTTTTGTCTGCAGAATGGCGCCTACAAATCTTGCAGCCTCTCACAGATGTAGAAGTCCCTCTGGGGGAGAAAGCTACATTTAGTTGCATTTTAAGTGAAGCTGTGCCAATTACTGAAGTTTCCTGGTATAGCAATGATGTAGAGATCCAGTCAGATGAGGACTGGGAGGTACGAGCAGATGGAAACAAATACAAACTTACCCTGAAAAATGCCCAACCTCATCATTCTGGAGAGGTGACTTTTGCTTCGAGGGAAGCAATTGCATCAGCCAAGTTATTTGTGATAGGTGAGTGTCTGTTGTTCAAGCCCAATGGCACTTGAAATCTCAGACTTTATCAAGCTACAACATTGAATTTTCTAATCTTTGTGCTGATTCTTTTATCTTTGCCTTGTGTTCTAAGCTAGTGGTTTTAGTGGGAGCAGATGCTGCTTGGGTACTTGTTCTTCGACCAAAAATAGTCCATCTCATCAGTAGAAAGTTGTATCGGGCTAGTGCTGGTAAAGATGTTCACCAACTTCCTTTAGCTGCAGTCTTTTGTAAAATGTAACATAGAGTCTGATGGAAACCAATTTACTCAGAGTTCAGCGTCACCCTCAGCAAACATGGACATGAGAGGGACCTGAACTAGAGCACACATGGAAAAATTAGCCAGGGCAGCAGAGAATCCCTTGAAATATGCTAATCTTCTCAAGTGCAGGACAACTAGTTTTCCACATTAATGAGTTGCATATTAAAATCTTCATGTGGGTGAGAAACATGAAGCATACACCTTGTGCTTCAGAGATACAAGAATTAATAACTCTTGGAGTACTTCACAAGTAGAAAAATGATAGTTCCCTAATTCCCTCATGGGGCAGTTTAGACCCATGATTCA